ATCCAGTCATTTTGAGACTAGCCTGAGTTTGAACACTGACCTCAATAATCAGTTGGTCTTCATGGAGTGCCTGCCATGTACCAAGCACCTGTGCAAGATACCATGAGGCACAGAGCTGAATCAGGCAGGGTAATGTGGGGAGGGAAGGAGAGAGGGGACCCCTTCTGTTTTGTGGGGACACAGCACCAGGCACATACCTGGCCTTTATCCTGAAAGATGAGATAATTAGCATGTGAGAACAGTAGTTATCATAACCATAACTAGCACCTGTATCTTTCCTTGGGGTCTCCACGGCCCTCTCTGCAAGGCAGAGTATGACACACTCTGCTCCTTCAGACCTCCTCGTGGCCTAGGACTCAGACAAAACACCATTCCACACATCAATGTGCCTGATTCCTGCTGCTGCCCTGAACACCCCCAGAATGAAGTCCTCCCTCTCCGCACCCCATGGTTGCATTTTATCATTGTTTACATGATGTGCTATGTTTTCAGTCGTGTCCCAACTGGGATTTGGACTCCCTATTGAGAGCAGGGCTTGCACCTGATTGTCCCATGTGGCATCTGACACAGGGACCCATCCCATCCCCACTTCCACCTCCCCCACCCCTGCCAGAGGAGGTGAGAAATTATTGGAGGATGAGTGGGGAGAGGAATGTGCCCAGAGGAAGGGCTCCTGGTTGCAAAGCAGCTGAGACAAGGGCTCAGAACCCAAAGAAATCAGGGTGGGCCTCTGAGAAACCAGGCAACAGGCCAAGTGCAAATCAGGCAGGGGCAGGCGTTGAGTTAAGGCCTGCCTTTCCTTCTCCGGGTGTTTGGGGCTAACAGGAGGTGGGGCCAGGACAGCTGTGCCTGGTGAAACAGATGTTCTCTGGGCCTCAATGTGGGGCATGGAGGAGGGGGGAACTGGAAGGGGAGGGCCACAGCCAGAGAAATGAAATATCCACAGACCCATTTCTGTTTATTCCATTTTACTTGTAGCATGGAAAGTCCCAAAACCCCTACAGAAGTAGACGGACTGGTTTGAGGAGCTCCCACGTACCGATCACCCAGCTCGAAGTGCCATCCCCACCTTGCAGTTCTCATTCCATTTCTCCCTCAAGCCCCTTCGTTAACAAAAATGTCAGACGCCAGATCATTTCACCCATGAATATTTCAGGATGTATTTCTCACACATTAGCACATTTCTAAAAACAAGCACATCATCACCACACCTAATTAAACAAACCATTCCTTAAGATCCTCTAATAAGAAATTCATCTTCGCATGTTCTCATTTTCCTGAAAAACATCCTTTTACGGTTCATCTGTTTGAATAAAGATCTAAACAAGGTCTATACATTCCCAGGCTGGAGTGCAGTAGCATGATCTCGATCCCGGCTTACTACAACCTCTGCCTCCTGGGTTCAAGTGATTCTCTTGCCTTAGCCTCCTGAGTAGCTGGGACTACAGGTGCCTGCCACCACGCCCAGCTAATTTTTGTATTTTTAGTAGAGACAGGGTTTCACCATGTTGGCCAGGATGCTCTCAAACTCCTGACTTCAAGTGATCCTTTTGTCTCAGTCTCCCAAAGTGCTGGGGTTACAGGCATGAGCCACGGCGCCTGGCCTATACGCTGCATTTTGGTGCTTTATCTCTTAAATCTCTTTTCATCTCTAACTGTCCTTTCTCCCGTCCTTTTTATGCCCTTTTACTTGAGGAAACCTGGCCCTTCGTCATGTGAGACTGACCTCCTTGTTGATGTGGCGGACCGAACCCTCATGGTGTCATTTAACATGGGGCACTGTCCTGCTTCCTGCAGAGTGGCATTTAGGTCCAGACGGTTGATGTGGTGTAGGGTCAATTATTCTGGCAAGCAGACTTCCTGGGAAGCGCTGCGTCCTTCCTATGGGATCACACCTGGAGCATACTAAGAATGCTTCCTGGGTGATACTAAGAATGCTTGGTGCGTTCTGGTGTTGCAAGCCTGATCTCTCCATTGGAAAGCCCCCATCATCTTGCCTTACTCATTTCAGTACCTTTCATAGAATTTTAAAGCACTGACAGAGCTGGAAGAAATCTGAGAAGCCCATTCACTTATGTTTCTACTCATTCCTCAAATATTTGTTGAGCATCTACTATGCCAGGTCATGAGCTGCAGGGAACAGAACCAAAGGGATCCCTGATCATGGAGCTAACAGCCAGGTGGCAGTAGATACCTGGAAGACAGGTCTGCAGGGGTGATGGGTTATAAGTGACCACAGGGGGAGGTGACTTACCGCCGCCAGGTGGCTGCTGTGTGATGGGGGTAGGGAGCCTCCCTAAGAGGTGGGACATGGGAGCTTGACAAGAGCAAGTCAGCTGTGCAGAGATGGCAACTGCAATACAAGGAGAGGCAAGAACTGGTGCTGGCAGAGAACCTGGCACCTGCCAGGGAAAGCAAGGAGCCAGTGAGCAATGGAGAGGGGACTACGGGAGCAGCAAGGTGGTTGCTGTGATAACAGCCCGGGTGGGCAGTGGAAGTGATGGCCAGCCCACTACCCCCACCTCTTACCGCAGGGAACATGAGCTCAGAGAGGATGGAGAGGTTGCTACTGAGCAACCACCCTGCATCAGGAGCTTTCTATGCCGCATCTCAAAGCCTCACAGCCCACTGCATAGGAGTCATTGTGCCCATTTTACAGATGAGGCCAATGAACAGTGAGGCCGCCTGCCTAAGGGCATAGAGCCACAGATGGGCAGTAGGGTGGAGCCCAGGCTGATGAGGTTCCCCAACACTTCAAAGTCGCCCCTGTAGCGAGATGACGACTGCAGAGCCAGGCTGCCTCCAACCTTGGCTCTGGCACCGAGAAGACCTGTGACCGGCCGGAGGACCTTCTCCCCTTTGGTGCCTCAGCTTCCCAATCTGTAAAATGGGAATAATGATTGTACCTACTTCAAATAGGTGGGGATGAAATGAACTAATTTATGTTAAGTACTTAGAACAGTGCCTGACCCCCAGCAAGCACTTGATGGTAGATATTTATGTTTATAGTTCCACTGGCATCAATACTTACAGAAAGGCAAAGCTGAGATGACAGGTCGCCAGCTTCCCAGGGTGGAGTCCACCTCACTCACAGCAGGTTCAGGTGCATCCATTGAAAGTTTACCAGGGCCAGGCGTGGTGGCTCACACCTATAATCTCAGCACTTTGGGAGGCCAAGGCGGGCAGATCACTTGAGGTCAGGAGTTTGAGACCAGCCTGGCCAACTTGGCAAAACCCCATCTCTACCAAAAATACAAAAATTAACAGGGTGAGGTGGTGACACCTGTGATCCCAACTACTCAGGAGGCTGAGACAGGAGAATCACCGGAACCCGGGAGGCGGAGGTTGCATTGAGCCAAGATCACACCACTGCACTCCAGCCTGGGTAGCAGAGTGAGACTCTGTCTCAAGAAAAAGGTTGCTGGGAGGAGAGGAAGCTTACCTTGGGGCCCTGCAGACTCCTTGCTGGGGATGGGGCTGGCTGGGGGAGCCACAGACCCCTGTAGGAGATCTCCAGGCTCCTTCTAATGCCTGCCCCAGGACAGGCTCCCATTCTGGAGTCTCTCTGTCCCCATTTCATGGGGGCCCACTCTCAGCTACCCAGCTCAAAGATCAGTGACCACCCATGGCCCTCAAACATCCCATCCACATGCACCCTGATATGGGCAGACAGGGCTCAGGCTGAATGTGAGGAGGCTGAGCAGCAGCTATGTGCCCAAGGGGCATGGCAGGGCCAAGACTAGGTGGTCTAACCTTGCCACTCCACACTACACGTAGTCCGTGCCTCTGGGGCCCAGATGGGTCACTTCAGCACAGGGCACAGGGAGTTTCATAACTTCCCAGGCAGACACCCAAAGGGTTAAACTCAGGCTCCCTCCTTCCTCCATCTCAATTCCGATCCTTGCTGACTCTGCTCCCCCTCCCTAGCCCCAGCTATTCTGGGACAATGGAGGCAGCAGATGGCCCGAGTCCTGTTCCCTCCGCCCGACCCTCAGGATCTTGGAACAACCCAAAAAGCTGCTGCCGCGTCTAAATGCAGGCTCACCAGCAGCCTTCCCTGGGTGGGTTGGGGAGGACGGCGGCTGTGGATGGCGCCATTCCAGCCCCACCGGGCTGCAGGGCCAGGGCTGCCCTCACTCGAGGCATCCCATAAACCCAGCCCTGGGCCAGCCTAGAAAGAAACGGGGCTTTGGAGAAGCAGAAGCAGCTGGCTACACCCAACTCACTGTGTGACCACAGCACGCGGCAGTCCCTCTCTGGACCTCTCCTCCCTGGAAAACAAGGGGCTGGCTTCAGGTGCTCAGTGGTTCCAGACATCCCCAACACAGATGTGGCCAGAACAAGGTTTCTGATTCTTCAAGGGTGGAGCCCCTGGCCCTGGATGCCTGGGTCAGGACCCTCTGGCCCTCGGGATCTCTCCTCCTCCTTCCCCATCCCAGAGCTCCACTGTGACCCCAACTCCCAGCATCACTGGGCAAGATATAACTTTCCCTCCATAACCCTCCCCTCCCCACCTATGTGCCACCATGCCTGAAATTTCAGATCACTTTCATTCATCTGTCCCCCTCCTTGGGATCCGAAATTCCAAGGGCACTTGCGTTTACTCAGTTCCTGCCCCTGGCTGTCAAACAGCCCTTTGGTGACATTATCTGATACCTGAGGCTAAGTCCTTCTGCACTGAGTCTCCATTCCACCTTCCCTGATTCTCTGACCTCCCCCACCCAAGCCCTGGGGGCAGAGAAAAGGAGGAACCACTCCATACCTCACCATGCACACATGTGCCACACAGCCACAAACACACACACACCACATACACATCTTCATGCAGCATCCACTGAGCCCTTCCTTTCTCTGTGACAGGCTCTGTAAAACGGTCTTGGCATACATCCTATCATACCACCAAAAATGACCGCCATCTCCACTGTAATAAACAGATAAAGACCCTACCCCTGTCAGGAACGCTGTGGCTGCTTGTAACAGAAAACTGAACCAAAAGAGACTTAAACAAATAAGCATTTAATTTTCGTACAGAACCAGATGCAGGAGGAAATAGCTGTGGGTGATTGTCTGGGCCTTTCCTTCATGGTAGCAAGGTGGCTGCCCCAGGTCCAGCCATCACACCCACATTCACAGCAGGAAGATGGGGAGTGGGCTGCAAAACCTTCCCCAGAAATGTCTCTATTGGCTTTGCTTAGTTCCCTCTGGCCAGAGCTAGTCCCGTGGTAGCCGCTAACAGCAAGGGAGGCTGGGAAATGAGCAAAAGTATCATCACGATTGGCTGGGACCTATCATGCTCCTTCATCTGGGCCCGGGTATGCCGAGGCTCCAAACAAAATCTGAACAGGGGGCAGAGAGCAAGGAGCTTTGCGAGACTGATCAGCAACAACGGCAGCCGCTGAGGACCCTGGATTCTGCCATCCTTCTACCCGCATCCCTTCAGTGACTTGGGACCCAGTCGAGGGAGGCGAGAGTGGGCAGCTCAGTGCTTGAGCCCCAGAAGAATGCCTGAGAGACATGAGCCAGAGGCAAGAGCCAGGCCCCACCCAGAGGCCATGTCACTGCCTAAAGGCTTAGGACCCCTGAGCCCCAGCCCAGTTCTAGTGCCCCCTGCCTTTTTTGCAATTCAGCCTCCTGAAAGAGTCTACCCCCTGGAGCCTCTCTGGCCATCACCTGGTCCATCTGGTCCCCTGGGCCGTCTAACTCCCCTCCCAGGGGACTGGGATGCCTTCAGTGCCCATTGCCACCCAGATCCTGGGCTTGCCAACCACCAGAAGGCCCTGCCAGGAACTGCCTATTACAAGACACTTGCCAGGGGCACTCAGTGCCACCCTGGGAGCCAAGGAACAGCCAGAAGCCTCTGCCCAAACTTTGCCCAGCAGTTTAGGATTCATCGGGCAACCAGCTGTGGACACCAGGGTGTATCTGGGTAGAGGAGACAATGGAGGGAGCGGAACCTGCAGAGAGACCAGAAAAAGACAGAAAAAGACTCCTACTTCTGCTTTCAGCCCGCTCTCCTGGGGGGACGCATGCCACAGACAGTTTGCAACAGGGTTTCTCCACTAACGCTTAGGGCTACACAATTCTTTGTTGTGGCGCTGTCTGTACCTTGCAAAATATTTAACAGCATTCCTGGGCTCTACCCACAAGATTCCAGTAGCATCTCCCCGAATCATAATAATCAGCAATGTCTCCAGACCTTGCCAGATGTCCCGCAGAAGACAAATCACCCCCACCTGAGAACCACTAGTTTGGAGAAACTTCAAAGTCTGGAGAAGCCATCAAGAGACCTCAGCTGAGGCCAAGCACCTGACCACACGCCTCTGAATCTGTCGGTGGCTCCAGATCCATTTGGCAGTAATCTATGGCTTCTAGAACCTTCAGGCTTACAGGAAATTTAACATCAATTCCTTTTTTTTCTTTTTTTTTTGAGACGGAGTCTTGCCCTGTCACCCAGGTTGGAGTGCAGTGGCGCAATCTTGGCTATGTTTGGATGCCTAGACTTGGCCCTCGTTCCTCCCATCCAAGGTTTCAGCCCCCAGACCCACCTGGAGGGGTCCTCCTCCGGGGAGAAGGGGCCCTGTAGCTTAATGACGTTGAGCTTCCCCTCAAAGACACCGTAGCTGAGGGTGACCTGGGCAGGGAGATAAAGGAGTTAGTACTGGGGCATCATGCTGGGGATCCCCACAAGGGGGCAGCATCCTGGCACAAGCGTTTTAAGCCGCAGGGAAAGCTGTGCGGGGCACGTGAAATTAATTCCCCACTGGAGGTGGGAGCTCCTTACCCCAAGGCACTTTACAGCTGGACGAGCACTACCATGCCCTTAATCCCATTTGCTCCCTCGACAGCTGGGCTCCCTGGGAAGTTAGAACAATTCCCCCATCTACAGATTTGGAAACTGAGGCTCAACAGGAAAAGGCACCTTTCCAGTAAGCTGTATGCCTGGACTAGAACGGAAGTTTTCTGAGATTCACTAGAGGGTCTCAGCACATCCCTCTTGACCCGGAGCCTCTACTCCACCAGGCAGTGAGGACGTGGATCACGATTTCAACTCATAGGCTGTAGAGGTTTAAGACTGTGGGCTTATGGACCACCCAGCTAGGGTTCCAGGGCCCCTCTGCCGCATATTAGCTGTGTGCCACGGTCAGTTTAGCTCACTGGGCCTCACTTTCCCCATCTGTAGAATGGGGATAATGTGAGTACTGACCTCATGTGAATATTGTTAGCAACCAGCGAGTTAAAGAAGGGTGGCCTGGCGCAGTGGCTCACACCTGTAATCCCAGCACTTTGGGAGGCTGAAGCGGGCAGATTGCTTGAGGTCAGGAGTTTGAGACCAACCCGGCCAACATGGTGAAACCCCGTCTCTACTAAAAATACAAAAATTCGCCGGGCATGGTGGTGCTGTGCCTATAATCCCAGCTACTCGGGAGGCTGAGGCAGGAGAGTCACTTGAACCCGAGAGGTAGAGATTGCAGTGAGCCAAGATCACGCCACTGCACTCCAGCCTGGGCAACAAGAGTAAGATTCTGTCTCAAAAAAAATAAATAAATAAAAAGAGGAAGGGAAGGCCCCCAGTGTGGTGCGTGGCATTGTGGGTGCTCAGGATCCCCTAACCATTAGGGTGCCCTGGTTCGGGCTGCCCCAAATCTGCCTCCCTTTCCTGGCTTCAGGCCCTGCCATCCTAATGAGACCAACCTCACACCCCAGTTCCAGGTCTGGCCAATCAGCGCGGACTCCAGGGGCCGGTAGAAGACGGGTCACGTGACCCAAGCCCACTCAATCGGACCAATGAGCACCAGCCCTGGGATCGGGAGGAGGGAGGCGCTCTCGTCCTTCCGGTGGCGGCGGGAACGCTGGGCTGCCATCTTGCCCGCGTGAAGGCTGAGCCTGCCTGAGGACGGGGCCAACTTGGGGGACAGCGGATGAGAGAGGAGAGAGTCCTGGAGGCCATCTGCACGCCTAGACCCCGCCAGGCCCTCAGCTTCTCAGGTATGAGAGCCAAGCATTTCCTCTTCGGGTTAAGCAGCCCATGTTGAGTTTCGCCGCACTGTTGGGCAGGAGGTCTCAGGGACACCCTCAGCCAGGACCGTCTACAGAGTCAGAGGCCAGCCTCTGCCAGGCAGAGCCAGCTGGACCTGTGTTCCCTGCCGGGTGGTGGGGTAAGGATCCCACTCCTCCCTCAGCCTAACATCCGTTCCCCCTGAAGCCATTTCCATCCAGTAACCTCAGGGTTGAGCCATGGACAGGGAAGTTTGATGAAGGAGGGGCTCCCAACGGATAAAAGCAGAAAGGGCCCCCTGGCTCCCCGGGAGGAACGTGGGGAGGATGGAATACTGCATAGAGCCAGGGGTGGGGGCAGGGTGCTGGGAACCTGAAGACAACCGCATCTCACGTGTGTGGGTCTCTCTGGCTGGCATTTGAGGACCAGATCAAAGAATGTCAGTTTCACAGATGCTAATCCTTGAGGGTTGGAGGTGAAGGGGTTGAGTCACTGTGTGCCCTTAGGGGGTCCTTTGCCACCCTAGACCTCAGTTTCCCCGTTCAATAGGGAACAGTCAAGCCCCGTAATCTAGAGTTCCAGGTTTCTTTCAAAGACCGGAAGGGAGGGTTGGGGAGACCTCATGTCTCACGTTCCTTTGGGGGAACCCCTCCTCTCTCCTGCTTCCCATTGCCGCCTGCCCCAAGGCCAGCCCACCTGTTCAGGGAGCTCCACAGTCCTCAGCAGCTGCAGGGTCTCCAGGTGGGAGTGGAAGAGGGGGCTGGGCTGCAGGCGGCCGCCCAGCTTGCACTCAATGATGTAGCCCACAGTGCAGTCATCAGGCAGCCGGATGAGAGCAGATGTGTCCATGAAACGGGAGCCGCTGAGGGACAGAGCCAGACTGTAGACACTGGCACAGGTCCTCCACATCCAGAGCCCCCACCCTGAGAAGGCCCTCCACTGGCACAAGCTGGCAGAGCAGAGCGCCTGCCTCCCAGATACTGTATGACCTTGAGCAAGTCAGGAACCTCAGGGAGCCTCAGCCTCAGTCTCCTCTTCTGTGAAATGGGGATGCTAACGGCCCTGTCTTCACAGGGCTGTTGTGAAGATTAAACGGAGGAATAGGAAGGCGATGCCCTTTATAAATGTAGTCTTCCTTCTTTCCCTGTCTGGTCATTCATTTATTCACTCATTTATTCATGGTTGAGCTTGAGAACCTACCTGGTACCAGAGACCATGGTAGGGCTGAAGATACAGAGATGAGAAATGCTTCCTGCCCTTAACAGCAGCCCCCATTCTGGAGGGAGACAGAGCAGGGAGGAAGTCTTTCAGAGTAAGAGAGTGGTGCTCAGTCCACACTGCCTGGGGGTATAGAGAGAATCAGACAGGCTTCCTGGAGGAGATGGCAGCTTTTTTTGGTTTGTTTTCTTATTTTGTTTTGGTTTTTTTGAGACAGATTCTCCCTCTGTTGCCCAGGCTGGAGCGCAGTGGTGCAATCTCAGCTGACTGCAACCTCCGCCTCCCAGGTTCGAGTGATTCTCCCGTCTCAGCCTCCCCAGTAGCTGGGACTACAGGCATACGCCACCATGGCCAGATAATTTTTGTATTTTTAGTAGAGACAGGGTTTCACCATGTTGGCCAGGCTGGTCTTGAACTCCTGACCTCAAGTGATTCACCCGCTTTGGCCTCCCAAAGT